AAAGTGCAGCACCGATCAGAAACAAGGTAAAAGTGGTTGAACCTCTGAATTCAAAACACATAGCCTGGAGGTGCCCTTTGAAGAGTCCATCCACTCTGAACCTATACCAATTACTTTAGTAGTTCAGTGCACGCTTACCTTCAAAAGCGTTCTGCATGTGCCCCAATGAACATCCAGTGCCAAGTACTAGGGAATCCGGATGTAAATCTACCTATATAACTATAGTCGCAATACATATGTCCATCAAGAAACCATGTCTTTGAACATCCAACTGTTTGAAACCGACCTCAAGTTGCCCTTAGGATATGTTTCAAATCCACCGCTTGAAAACAATTCTTTACACTTTCATATGGGGATACATAGACACCGCTGGTGTATTTTTACCCAGGGAGGAACAGCATAAACTTTGCCACTATTCTAATCTATAGAACCATGTTATATGTGTATATATATAGTTATATATGTATATTTTGCAAGGTTGTATAGTATATATATATAACCTTGCAAAGTTGTTCCAGTAGCATCTTAGTGAATCTGCAGCTGTGTGAACCCCCGTCTCAATCAATCTCAAATATTGCATGGCCCCACATGGTGTCAAACATGATGCACACACACGCATAGAGATCAAAGTTCAATCAACATGCGACACGATGCAACATATATGTGTGTGCATATATATATATAAAGTCATAGTTGTTGGTTCAACCCGGTCAAGCATTCAGGACTACAAAGGGGGCCTTTCAAAGCGGATTAAGTGTTGTTAAAATGCCCACTCAATAACAAGAACAAAAGTGAAGGTCCGCAAAACAATACGCATCCAAATCCAACTGCCACTCAATGTTAAAGTCTTGGAAACAAAAGACACATGGAACTCTATGGAACTGGATGCCTGAAACTGGATGTCTTGTGCCACGGCTGAATTCTTCGGCCTGAGAGTTTTCGCAGGTGTCCATGTCCTCCTGCACGCGAGGCAACGCTCCATCACCGTCCGCCGCTCCATCACGTTCTTCCGTCCGCTCGGGCTCCACCGCCGGCTCCTTAAGTAACACCTTTTTGACGTGGAAGGGGTGTGTTTTTGCATATGAGGAAAAAAGTATGAAGAAAACATAGACCCTTGCCAAACATAGCCCTCGCGCCAGGGAAGATGCTTATAGGAATCATACACCGCATGGCAGCCTCTACCTTTAAAATGGGCCAAAGGTGGCCTCAGAGTCTCTGATCAGTTCAAGTCTTACAAAGTGAAATACATCGCTGCGAACGGAGCGATCGGACGCTACTACAACGGGGCGAAACTGGCATCGCGACTCGAACGGGTTGGACCGAACTCACTTCGAAACAGCTCGATTCCTGCACCTCGAGATCCGTGAATGACCTCAGACCGAGACTCCCAGCCACTGAGAAAGGGATGCCCAACTAGAACACCCCAAAAAAGCATCAACATGCTCAAAAGCAGGTGCTTGTCCCGTACCAAATGTGTTTGAATTTTGAGCTGTTAATTTAGTGCAGGCTACCCCCGGCGGGGGATGATTAGTTTCGTGACGCACCACTTCGTGACAACTTCGAAGTGCAAAGGTGACGAGTGGTGAGCTCCGGAGACAGAAAACTTTCAAACAAAGCCTCAGGAAAAGCTATCTGGTATGGGTCGAGGAACCAGTACCCTTTTGATCCAGTGTTTCTTTCACAACTGACATCCATAGCTTTCATAATCTTTCATGGATGTTGAGCCTTCCGGGGTCCTAGGCTGTGGTTCTCCTTTCACCAAAAAGGATTTAAGGACCCCCATGATGTCTGCCAACAGCCAGCATGGATCCACAAAATACAATTCAGAATGGAATCCACCACAAAGCTTGGGTCCAAACAGTATACCAGGCCAGGAGTGATGTTGGTCAAAATGACAGTCGGGCAACTCGAGGGAACACAGCAAATCATAGCTACCCTCCCTGCAAACCAACATGGACCGTGAAAATTGACCCCACTATTCTCATCTACAACCCAGTGGTATTCAGGGTCCATGTTAATCTGCTGCGAGGTATATATATATATACTATATATATGTACACACTGTAATCTAGCAAATGCCCCTCATTTTGCAGCGAGTGTGCGCGCCTATAGCCATCTTGAGCCCCGAAGAATACGCTGACTTCCTCCACAAGGATCTCTAAGATTGCCCATTCTTGCTCAAACAGCAAGAGCTACACTGAATCACTGAGGTTGGTGATGTTTATGTATTCTCCTCTAGACGCAGGTTCCCATCCTCAGGTTCCACAGTCCGAGGCCCCGTTCCTCCACAGTCTGAGGGTGACTCTTTGCAGCCAAGCAGCCACCGCTATCCACGGAATCCACCAAGCCGCACCCATCTTCCTAGCTGGGAATCACTGGGCCGTTCGATGAACTTAGCTGGTGTTTTTTTCTTGACCCAAGTGACCCCCTTTTTTTGGTCGGACAACTCAACTCGATATATAAATGCAAATCCTTTAGGCAAGTGGCTCTGAAAACAGGCACTCAGGTTCTCGGCAAATGGTTTTCACAAATGATTGTTGAGAGCCAAAAGGTAAAGCAAAGGCCCTAGCAGTTTTATTTGGCCTGGCATATTGAATAGATTTGACTAGCATCAGAATTCATCAAAACTTTGATCCGGTCTTCCTGCCTCTTTGCGGAATCTTCCCCGAGCGAAGCGACATGAGAGTCACCCGCGATCCACGGTTGAAAGCTCTGTGTGGCACCTTCGGGCTTAAAAATAGACTCCACTCCGTCCCAATCCATTTCTCAGCCTAGCAAAAGGAAAAGATCTTACAATTCAGGAGAGCGTGGTCCGAAAGTCGGCAGTTCGGTCGGAAAGAAACATTTCAGAAAACTGACGGCTGCAAGCGCTGCAAGCTCAGATTTTCAAGACTCAAGACACATCTGGGCAGCTTATGGCAGCTTGGCAGTCTGCTTCAGCTCAGTGATGGTCCTTCACATCACCACTTCTGGGGCCTGGGGGGTTCACTTCGTGGACCAACCTCGGCGTTGGGCATTGCTTTGGTCGATGTGGGAAGGTTGGAGTCAACGACCGCATGGCCTGCCTTTGCTGGGCCCTCCGAATCAGCAACTCCATGCAAATGAGAAACCGCTGAGAGACCTGCAGCTCCTTGAACACGAACGCCAGCTTTCGCCGCATAAACTCAACGACCACGATGTGCTCGGCATGAGGCGAAGCATTGGGTAGTGGTGTTCCGGCGGCGTACCATTTGTCATCGTTCTTGACGATTCGATACACCTTCGACACACTGGTCAGAGGGAACTCAATGATTCGACCATTGCTTTGATCCAACTTTAAAGTGGTTAAGTCCTCCATAAGCTGCACATGAATATCAGCATAGTCTCTATTGGACGTGAGCTGAGTTAGGTACATGCCCGTGTGCAGTTCAATGGCAAATTCCTTGTACATCTCCAAGAGCTTCTCTTTCCGCACCTCTTCTACCTCATCCGCACTGATGTGTGGTGGTACCGGATATGCCTGCAAATCTGGTAGCTCCAAGGAAGATCTGAGATCCAGCTGCCGAGGCGTCATAGGACCCGAGGGGAGAAAGCCCAGACCCGAAAGCCGTGGAGCGAAGGTGATGTCGAAGGAATCCCCCGAGGTCAATACGTGCTTCGCATTGCTCATGGGCGGCTCCGAGGTCAGCTGCACTTGGTACTCATTCGGCTGATAAGCTTCGCAGCCGGCGGTGCAGCAGCCCCAAATCCAGTCCAAACGTGGCGTCAGCAGCGACATGGCCCGAAGTGGAAATGCTGGCTGATCAATATGTTTGAAGCCTGCCTTTGCAAATGGTCTGGACGATTGATCAACTCAGAACGACGAAATTGGCATGGGCACAGTCAGCTCCACAAAGCACAACTGTATGTCCAAACGAACAGTTCACAAACTATGCCACTGTCACTGAACATCAGCATGCAGTAAGCTATATATGCCGCTATGCTTCTTAATGCAAACGCGTTGAGCCAAAATTAACCCCAAACAAGAGGCCATCGTTAATAGGTTGGAGGCCATGGGTATCAGCCGAGTTGGGTCTCACTCGGTGGAGCTCACACTCAGCTGCTGCTGCACATCGGTCAACTCTGACGGTGAAGGATGGCCTCCAAACGCATGCACCCACCAAACTAGCACACTATAGATGCAATGAGCAACTGTGAAACCCCAATTCGGATGACAGAGAATAATTGGGGTGAAACGCCGTTTCGAACTGAGCCACTCGGCGACTCGGTGGCTGAAAGGGTCATCCCATCCCATCCCCCACGTCACATAGCTCAGTCGGGCCACCCTTCGGTCGCCCGTTTTGTGGCTGTACAAGGCGGCGCCGAAACAGTGACGCGTCGGGAAGGAGCCATCTCAGGACTCCAGGTGAGCCCGGTGGGCAAAACGTCAGGGAAGCCAGTGTGTGCGTCACCATCGCAACTTGCAACAAAGTAAAGCTCCTGGTGCTCAGAAAGTTCCACCCTCTCGTTGAACAATTGACCTCTCTCCTGCAAGGTTTTCCAACCTTCATTCAATTCCAAAAGGTGGGTGATCCCTTTAAAAGTCCAGGGATAGTCAGTTCTCAGTTGGATTGGATCAAAGAACCGGCGACGCACATTCACATTCCCAAGCGAGCTCGTCTAGGAAAGCGGCAGCTCGGCCGAATTGAGCATGTTGCACGACCAAATGGTTTCAACACCCACACAAATGCGCCCAAAACCGAAGGGCGACACCTACTCCTCCGTTGGAGAGTCTATGACATACTTGTGACCCCAACGGGCACAAGGACGCGACTTGATTGCTCTGCACAGCACAGGTGTTGGATCTCCCCCAGTGTCGGATTCACTGGAATAGAATTCCTATTGAAGGCAAACCACCTGCTAAAGCTCCAACACTTAAAAAGAAGCTGCGGCTATTTCATAAGCTCGAAACTTCATCAATGTCTCTCAGTGGGTGTATCACGGCAGGTTCACAAGTTGGAGGGTGTTTGGGTCCGTTCCATGTGACAGGTCCAGGGGCATCCACCAACTCCTGTTCTTTCAAAAGCATTCGTGGACTTATCGAAGCAAATCGATCATGCCATCTCACGCTGGGCGCGCACCGTCCGCCGCCAGCGCCTCAAAAGGCCTTGTGCCAGCCTCGCCGAGGCAGGAGGAAGCACTCCGTACATTGACTTGTTAGACGGTGCACTCCGGCTCGGCAGTGGAACATGGAATCGTGGTTTGTATTGGATTTGTCCGTTCTCAGTTTTCAGCACCTTTTTTTGGGCGCCTTGACAACTTAGTCTGCCCCAGGTCCTTGAGACGTTCTCCTCGTTGTGAAAAAAACAGCTGGTCTTGCATCCCTTTTTTCGGAATTTGCACCCTTGGCCAGGTATTCAGGAGGCTCGGCACAACTACCTCACTTGGAAGTCGGTTCATCGTCAAAGGGTAGAGTTTAGAGAGACGATTTCGGTCAAACAAATCATGACCAACTCATGATCCTGAGAAAGAACTTCGCCAATGGCCAACAGGAATCTCATCTCTCCATATCTCTCCAACCTTGACATCCTACAGGGTTTCGGCCTCGTTCAAAGTGAACACAATCGTGGGGTTTGCCCAACCAACATCAACAGTGCGTTTGCGCTGGGAATATTGACTTTCCAATCTACTCCAATCCACCCATCCCCACCCCACTCGACTGAATATGAAAAAAGGCCTTGCAATGGTGCCGGATCCTCAGAGCTTAAGCTTGGACACTTGACTGCGGATTCCGACATAATATGACAGCACTGGCCTCCACCCCAGTAGCAATAGCCTGCAACCTAAAAGCGGTGGCCTCCAACCTACACCCTTCCTCCAACCCATGGAAAAACTGGGAAACCCAAGTTGGGCATGACTCGGACGTCCCGCAGATCCACGATGCAAAAATCTTGGAGTGGTGGCGCCAGTTTGATGCACAAATCACCAGCCACACTGAGGTTCACTCGTGTCGCTTATCCACACAAGCAACCAACACCTTTCATAAACTCAAGGATGCACTAAAGGCAGCTGTAGCAGCACATAGCAGTGCCTTTGCACAATCTAGAATGCACCAAAGCTTCGATTGGTTCCCTGAACTCACTTTTAACGTCAATCAGTTTGTTATTTGTTTGTGCCAACTGTCCCAAGTGTCCGGGAACCAACGCCGGCAATCCCTTAATTGACATGCTAACAACATATAGTATCAGTATATTAAGAACAGAATTACAAGACATGCGTTTGCTAATCAGTCTGCAGTTGCAGGAGTCCAAACAAACGAGCAGCTTTGAGTCCATCCAGACGGAAATTGTTATCATATGCCGCACAAGCCTGGTGCAAAATGCGTTGTGACCTTGCATGAGCTGAATAAGTTCAAATGCAAACTAAACCAAAAAACACCTCTGGTGGTGTTCACGCGTTCTTTTTTGGGGGGAACACGGGAAAATCGGAGCGTTCAAGCAGCGACACAGGCGCAACTGGAACTCAAAAAGGCCGGTCATTAGTTGACTTACGCCTCATGTGAAGATTGTCAAATCCGGGAGATTTTAAAACACGCCTCTCGGGTCGGGGTTTGCACCAATCGCAATGCACCAATCCAGGACTCCAAATTCAAAAACACATCACAACATGTGTGTGTGTGCATAGGTCTCAGAACAACTATATATACATGAAAAGGAACGGTAAACAAAACAATGTGGTGAATCTAAATGCGCAAAACATTACCCTTCTTGTTTTACGGTCGGGGAGCGCCAAAGGCAGGCCCGTTGGCAGCGAAAACAATGACATACACAAAATACATAGACCCTCCCTACTTCTTTACCTTACTATATGCCCTTACAAACGGCTGTCATATGCCCCAGCGGCGGTTCTTCTGCCAGGCCGATTTGGAGATCTCCTTTCCTTGGATCGGATGTCCGGTGTTTACGATGTCTGGTTTCCACTTCAGCCAAATGCACTTGTCCACTTCACCCCTCACTTTCCCACACCGTTCCCACGACGCGCCCGGTTGAGACGAAGACTCCGATGCCGCTGCCGCGCAGCTCCGCTTCCCCAACCTGTCTGCCGGGTGGCGACTGGGCGTGTTTTTCCCGCGGATCAATCAAACATAAAAACAAGATGAATCATAAGTTTATGGGTGACTACCTGATTGACCCCCAATGTGGTGCAGTGGTTTAATGTGTTTTGCCGTTTTGATGGTACATGCTGAGTGCCAGTCCACCAAAAGCAATATCACGGACAATCATTTGGTTTCCGTAAATCTGACCCCATGGTTTTGATCAACAGTCCAACCATCTTTCCAAAACTCCTCAGTCATCCCTGGCACCCGCAACAAAACACAAACAGAAACGATATCCGATAGCCTGACTGTTCACAAAGTCTTGTAATGTAGACTCTCGACTAATAAACCTCCCATCTGAATTTCCAATTCCTATGGGGGGGGTTACTCATCAAGTCTACATTACATCGATCCATTCTCCTTCTCCATCTTCCCGGATCGTCGCGCCGGTCGCGACCGCGGATCGCCACACCTCCAGTGCCCGCAGCGACCGGAAAATCTCCACCGCGGACCCCTCCGCCGCAGTCGCTGTGCTCGAGCCGGACCCCGTCCGGAGGAGTGCCAGGCAGGCGCCGTAAGCACGGAGCTGAGGGATGGCGCCCGGGTGGCCTGGAACGGAGATTGCATTGCATGGGTGGAGGCCATCCTCCTAGGGTGGAGGCTATCGCTACTAGGGTGGAGGCTATCGCTACTAGGGTGGAGGCTATCGCTACTAGGGTGGAGGCTATCGCTACTAGGGTGGAGGCTATCGCTACTAGGGTGGAGGCTATCGCTACTAGGGTGGAGGCTATCGCTACTAGGGTGGAGGACACCCCTCCTAGGGTGGAGGACATCGCTACTAGGGTCGTGCCATCCCTACTAAATTACGGTGGACACCGCTAATAGGTTGGAGGCCATCGCTACAAGGTCGGGGGCCATCGCTACTAGGGTGGAGGCCATCCCTCCTAGGGTGGAGGCTATCACTACTAGGGTGGAGGCTATCGCTACTAGGGTGGAGGCTATCGCTCCTAGGGTGGAGGCTATCGCTACTAGGTTGGAGGCCATCGCTACAAGGGTGGAGGCCATCGCTCCTAGGGTGGAGGCTATCGCTACTAGGTTGGAGGCCATCGCTACAAGGGTGTGGGCCATCCCTACTAGAGTGGAGGCCATCCCTCCTAGGCTAGGGTGGAGGCTATCACTACTAGGGTGGAGGCCATCGCTACTAGGGTGGTGCCATCCCTCCTAGGGTGGTGGCTATCGCTACTAGGGTGGAGGACATCGCTACTAGGGTCGTGCCATCCCTACTAATTACGGTGGACACCGCTATTACAAGGGTGGGGGCCATCGCTACTAGGGTGGAGGCCCCTCCTAGGGTGCAGGCCATCGCTACAAGGGTGGAGGACATCGCTACTAGGGTGGAGGCCATCCCTACTAGGGTGGAGGCCATCGCTACTAGGTTGGAGGCCATCGCTACAAGGCTGTGGGCCATCCCTACTAGAGTGGAGGCCATCCCTCCTAGGCTAGGGTGGAGGCTATCACTACTAGGGTGGAGGCCATCGCTACTAGGGTCGTGCCATCCCTACTAATTACGGTGGACACCGCTATTAGGTTGGATGCCATCGCTACAAGGGTGGGGGCCATCGCTACTAGGGTGGAGGCCATCCCTCCTAGGGTGGAGGCTATCACTACTAGGGTGGAGGCCATCGCTACTAGGGTGGAGGCCATCGCTCCTAGGGTGGAGGCTATCACTACTAGGTTGGAGGCCATCGCTACAAGGGTGGGGGCCATCGCTACTAGGGTGGAGGCCATCCCTACTACGGTGGAGGCCACCGCTATTGGGTTGGAGGCCACCGCTACTAGGGTGGAGGCCATCCCTACTAGGGTGGAGGCTATCGCTACTAGGATGGAGGCCATCGCTACTAGGGTGGAGGCCTCCCTACGAATTACGGTGGAGGCCATCGCTAATAGGTTGGAGGCCATCGCTACTAGGGTGAAGGCCACCCCTACTAGGGTGGAGGCCATCGCTAGTACGGTGGAGGCAATCGCTATTAGGTTGGAGGCCATCGCTACAAGGCTGGAGGCCATCGCCACTAAGGTGGAGGCCATCGCTATTAGGATGGAGGCCATC